TTATATTAATATAAAAATATTATATTAAGAATCATATAATTTACTATTAATAATTCAGAGTTCGGATATCTACGATCAGTTTGAGAAAAGAGAAAGTGGGAGGGAGAAAGAGAGAATACTTATAAAAAAATTCACTAAAAGAACGAGAACAAATATTTCTTATGAAGAAAAAGTTAAGTGTTAAAATTTTTAAAAAAAAGCTTTTTTATCAATTATAGAATTAATTTATTATTCTTGTAATTAAATAAAATAATTATATTATTAAGTATAATTGTCATTATTAATTACATATATAAATATAATAATTGATAATCATAAAAATATAAATATAATTCATTATTTTATTCAGCTGCTAGTTTTTTAGCCATTGTTTTCAATTCTTTCCTGGCGATTTTTCCTGAATTTGTATAGGGAAAAGCATCCAAGAATATCACTCCAGCACGAAGCTTATACTGATCCATCATGTTATTCGCCACCAAGTCTATTAATACTTGCTTCGTCACCTACACATATAATAATAATTGTATATTCTCTCAACAATTATACAAGATGTATCAAAAATCTTAATACAAAAAAATGGAAGTGATTTCTTATGCAAATGCAAGTCAACGAATATAAGAAATCACTTCCATTCGTTAGTTAAATGCGCATAAACTCAAGTGCGCGCAAAATATCTAAAACCGATTTTTTCAAAAACAAAGCCTTGTATAAAAAAATTTGATGTTTTCAATTTGCATTTATATAATAAATTGCGTCCATATTACTTGCATCGCGATTTCTGATATCCTTTGTATAATTAATATTTAAATTAACTTACATGTATTAATCTAAGACATATTTATTATATTAATAAAAGAAATTTATACACACATGTTTATTCTAATATGTTTAAAGAATCAAAAGAAACAAAAAAAAATCTTAGAAATAAACTTATTAAAAATTGTATTATATACATATATATTAAAATCTTTAAAGAAACTATTTGAACGATTTACAAAACTTTTCAATTCGCGATTGCTAAGGTATTATTTCATAGAATCTTGCTCATTAATGTCTTATAATTGCAACAAGATTGTACCTTTGCACCGGGTCTTTTAGTAACATAAGCAAGAGGATGTTCATTATCTGTTGCATGAAGCACTCCTATTACTGCAACTTCTAATACAGCTGGATGTGACGATAAGACACCTTCAATTTCCCCAGGTGAGATGTGATATCCTCTGTACTTTATAAGCTCTTTTATCCTATCGATAACGAAAAGTTCCCCGTCTTCATCGAAATAACCGATGTCACCCGAATGCAGCCATCCTAAAAAAATTCAAACATACTTTATGGGATATTTTATTATTATTAATCAAATGTAGGTTACATAATTTATTGACATATATAATTATTTTACATAAATAACATTAATTTAAATTAATTAAATATTACTGACAGGGTTACGCGCGTGCGCACATAAAGAGAAATGTTTTTTTACCTTCCTCGTCAATAGTATTTTTTGTCGCTTCAGGGTTTCTGTAGTAGCCATTCATCATGTAAGCCGTCTTTATCCACAATTCTCCTGGTTTATTCGGTCCAAGGATTTTCCCGTTTTCTGGATCTACGACCTTCATTTGCAAATTTTCAACTACCGTTCCACAAGACCCATCTTTATGATGCGAAAGCTGTATTGTCCCAACTCCGATTTCTGTCATTCCTAGAAACACAAGATAAGTAATCGAATTTTTACAATAAATTTTTTTATTTATTAGATATTGTTTATTATATATTAATATTATATTTATAATATTTCATTACATTAGAATGATACCTACCGTAAGTTTGTAACATTTGAACATGCGGTAAAATACGTCTCATTTCTTTTTGTGTTTTTGGCTTGATTATTGCACCGGCACAATGTATGACTTTCAAAGATGATAATGAAAACTTCTTTACATAGCCCGCCTTAAGAAATCGATTAATCATGCTCGTGCTTAGGAAAATCACTGTTATCTGAATAGCAAAATGAAAAAAAAAGATTCATGCTTTTGCAATATGCCAGTCATGTGAAAATATAAAACATGTTATGTAATTTATCGAATAAACATGCATTATAACAGTATACAAAAAGATAATATTTTTAATATTTTGAAAACTTTTGTGTGTAATTTAAATTGTAAAGTCTTAACACGTGATTTGTTGGGACGGTAGACATTTCCTATATTAATGCAAATCTTCAGATGATAAATGAGTTTAACAGCAAATTAATAACATTCTTCTAAGAGTAATAAATTTATGTAATGTTGAATACATTCAATTTCTTTGCTTAAAAAAAGCTTACTTAATTTTACCACGGATTAATTTTGTGAGCAAGTACAACATTATTTTCATATTGCAGCTTATAAAAAGATATCTATCTACAAGTTTAGTACTTCTAATATCTCTCTCAGCTATTATTGTTTTTAAATCAAAGGAAGATACAGACATATTTAAAAATATTTATTCTTATGACTTCAGAGAAAAAAATCTCTTATAAATAAAATAAATGATACTTTTGCTGCACATGCAATATTACCGCAATCTTCTCCGTTAGCTTATTCTCACCTTGTATTTTTCAATCAGTCGACAACACTAAATAAAATAAGCAATACATAGACGTGCGTTATTACACAATATTACACAATTTAACAATAAATAATAAATAAAATAGGATTTAATTAATTTAACATAGATAAAATTATATTTACTGGCTGGAATTATATTATCTCTGATTATTTATTTATTAATCGAATATAACGTAACGTTTTTTTTTAACTGTCATCGCAAAAGAACTTACGCAAATCCATGTTCTCGTCCCACGGATTAAAGATCGCGTTGACATAAATTGCCGCCAAGCAAGGCACGATGGAATTGAGATGATTTTTTGTGCACACACTGACAACATCGCCGGATTTAATTCCTTGGTCTTGTAGCCACAACGCGCATCTTACAACTTTGTCTTGTAACTCCGCATACGTAACTACTTGTTCAGTGCGTGCATATATATTGCCTGTTTATATAACGAATATTGTAGAATTAAACGCGGATGCACATTTGTATATTCTATATTTTATTGACATTAAAATAAAGGTAAATAAAGCAGAATAAAAATCTTATAAAATTAAATCTCCAATTAAATTTTAAGCAAGTTTAGCCAAATTTGTTTTATGTATTTATGTTATGTTTTTCCAAGATTAATTTTTTCTAAACCGACGAATAGATCTATGTTATCTATTTTATAAACACATTCACATTGGTAGAAAAATGCAATTAATAATTTTCTAAAAATGGAAAATATTTTTCTCTTTTAGAAGATTATTAATAAGATTTCTTTTTCTAACTTACTTAAGTATTCTACCCTTGAAAAAGTTCTCGTCGACGCTGATTTAAAATATATATAATTTAAAATAATTTAAATTAATTTAAAATAAAATTGCTGTAATTAAGAACGCGATATCAAGCAGCGCGGTAGTCAATTTATATACAAAACGATTAATAATGCGATTATGTTAACGAGGACCTTATCAAGTAACTTATATTCGGAATTTTTAAATGCGAACAATTTATTTTTAATTAACATATCTCCAGAACTGTAGCTGCAATAGAACATCTAATAGTATTTTTCTGATATAACGTTGATGTAAGCTTTTGTCTTGTGCAACCACAGTTTAAATAAAATTGATGCAGCCACTTCCGAGATTTCGGGATCTATTCCATGAAAAATGACAATTTTTCGCGGAGTGTTGCATTTACGAAATATTAATTTAATTTTTTTGTATATTATCTTGTATGATTGTTAGTATCCAATTTTCTGACATCAATACACAATTTTCTGACATCAATAAAATTTATTATGCTGTAAATGGACCAAAAAATGGCCTGAAACGTTCGGATATACATATAGATATTTTATTGTCATAAGAGATAAAACATAATATAGATATTAATATAGAATATAAATATAGATATTTTGTGTCATAAAAGTTAAAATATGTGTGTGTCCAAAAATTCTAAAATGGAATTAAGCATTTATTATATCTGATAAGTCGGATTACATAGAATAGTAGGATATATTAGTAAATGTTGAAACGTGCGGAAAAACCATACCAGTCTCTCGAGAACAAATCAAAGACTTATGTACAATTTCTTACTAATAACTTGTTTTGAGAAGCACTTCACTCGTTCCTTTTTACACGATAATAATACTAACTTGTTTGTTTTTTTTCAATTAATTGTGTACACTGCTCGTGAAAAAGTTTTTGCCGCGACATAAGTACGCTTAATGTGCTCAAAAATTGTGCTCATTGATTACACCATGTATAGTGACTGAGCGATTACTAACGGTGTCTCGTCACCCATAACACTACTTAAAAGTTATCTTATGAAGATATACAAGGTGTATCATTTTAAGTGATGCAACTGAATATCTCTTAAAGTAAAAGAGATTGGAAAAAACGTTTCCTCTCAATAAATGGAACCTCCAATTTTTTATTGCATATTCTTGTAGCTTATCTCGAGAGCTTTTCAAAACACTATAATAAAGTATTTTTTCGTTAAATACTTTTTGAGTTATTTTATATCTTAATTTGACATATTTTGATATAAAAAATAAAATATCTCGTAAAATATTTAGTTTTTGATAATCTTACCGTAATACTTTTATGTACAGAATAATAAGACAAATCAATTAGTGTATTCAAATCAATTAGTAGTACTTAATTGCTAATTAAGTATAATCAACGTAAAATAAAATTTCTTAATAATAATTTCTCAATGAATAAATTTTATTTGGTCTTCTCCCCATTAATTTTTATGTTAAAGATCAGATATTTCTCCAATAATCAAAGAAAACATAAAACAGAAAATACAAACTCTTCATACAATCATGCCACCATCAAATGTACACAAAATTTGTAAAGAAGTATTTAAAAATGTTTGAAAGATAATATGGATACCCTCTTGAATATTTAATTAACTTATTCTGGAAAAAAGTCAGTTTGACTTTAAATTTATATAAATCAATTGACGCTGTACAATTTTTTCTTCATGACACAATTTCTGTATGATTGTATCGTATTGTATAATTCAAAAACAAAATTAAATAAAGGATTATTTTTAGTGTAAAATCCGATTATTACTTTTTGATAGAGTATTATTTAAATTTTCAAGATTGTCCTCCTCGCTTTCCACTGGACGAAATTTTCAGAATTTAATTGTGTGCATACATTTGAAAAATTTTGTAACAAACAAAATAGCCATCTTAATTATGTATTTTAATCTAAAATTGTTCGTGAAATAATTATATAAATTTTTAAATCTTATACAATTATCAAAAAAAATAAAAAATAATAATTATATATAATTATAACAATAATTATAGAAAATATAAATATATGCTGTTATTTTACTCGACGGCTAGTTTCTTAGCCATTTCTCTCAATTCTTTTCTCGCAATTTTGCCTGTATCTGTATAGGGTAAAGCGTCCAAAAATATAACTCCAGCACGAAGTCTATATTGATCCATCATATTATTTGTCACCAAGTCTATTAATTCTTGCTCCGTCACCTATACAGATATATATATACACAATTTAACTGCATCGCACCAGCATAACGTATTTTATCTTTTAAGAAATTTTGTTTTATTAAAAATTAATCTATAAAAATAACTGTATTTTCTCAACATAAATGAACATATAATTAATATTTAAATTAACCTGCACGTGTATGTATTAATTTTTCTAAAATTTTTTATATATATACAAAGTATCCAATCAAGTAAAGGTTGGAACCAAATTTATATAATACACATATGTTAATAGAGTAGGTAAAAAAAAGTTCATATAAACCTATGTCCGAATATGCTTTATTGAAGAGTTAAAAGCTTTTAAAAATAAGCAAGCAAAATTTTTCTTATAACTTTATTAGAGTTTTAAACTATATTAGACGGAATTGGTAACTCGGAAATAAATAATTCTCAGTTATTATTTACTTAAGTCTAAATTTCTAAACAGTCTCTAAACTTCTGTCATATGTCTTTGCTTCTATTAGACTCTAATTTGTTCATAATAAATATCATAATTTTAATGTTTGAGTCGTTGTGATTTTATTTTTGCGATTACAATGAACGACTACGCTTCTTCTGAATTATGCAATATGCATAATATGTCAACAATTCCGTCTAAATTATAAGAAAAATTTTACTTGTTCATTTTTGAACGTTTATAGCTCTTTAAAAAAGCATTTTTGGATGTAAGTTTATAGGAATTTTTTTCACTTACTCGACTTCATTAACACATTGAATGAATTTGGTCCTGATCATTACGGACATCCTGTATACGTTAAAAAAAGATTACACACATGTCTGTTTCTAAATTATTTTTAAAGAATCAAAAAATCTCAAAAATTAATTTGTTAAAAAATTTTTTGTATAATTAATATTTAAATTAACTTACATGTATTAATCTAAGACATATTTATTATATTAATAAAAGAAATTTATACACACATGTTTATTCTAATATGTTTAAAGAATCAAAAGAAACAAAAAAAAATCTTAGAAATAAACTTATTAAAAATTGTATTATATACATATATATTAAAATCTTTAAAGAAACTATTTGAACGATTTACAAAACTTTTCAATTCGCGATTGCTAAGGTATTATTTCATAGAATCTTGCTCATTAATGTCTTATAATTGCAACAAGATTGTACCTTTGCACCGGGTCTTTTAGTAACATAAGCAAGAGGATGTTCATTATCTGTTGCATGAAGCACTCCTATTACTGCAACTTCTAATACAGCTGGATGTGACGATAAGACACCTTCAATTTCCCCAGGTGAGATGTGATATCCTCTGTACTTTATAAGCTCTTTTATCCTATCGATAACGAAAAGTTCCCCGTCTTCATCAAAATAACCGATGTCATCCGAATGCAACCATCCTAAAAAAAATTCAAACTTACTTTATGGGATATTTTATTATTATTAATTAAATTTACGTTACATAATTTATTGACATAAATAAATATTTCACATAAATAACATTAATTTAATTTAATTTAATTATATATTACTGACAGGGTTACGCGCGTGCGAACAGAAAGAGAGTTTTTTTTACCTTCCTCGTCAATAGTATTCTTTGTCGCTTCAGGGTTCCTGTAGTAGCCATTCATCATGTAAGCCGTCTTTATCCATAATTCTCCTGGTTTATTCGGTCCAAGGACTTTCCCGTTTTCTGGGTCTACGGTCTTCATTTGCACATTTTCAACTACCGTTCCGCAAGACCCATCTTTGTGATGCAAAAGCTGCATTGTCCCAACTCCAGCGATTTCTGTCATTCCTAAAAACACAAGATAAGTAATCGAATTTTTAAAATAAATCTTTTTATTTATTAGATATTGTTTATTATATATTAATATTATATTTATAATATTTCATTACATTAAAATGATACCTACCGTAAATTTGTAATATTTGAACATGCGGTAAAATACGTCTCATTTCTTTTTGTGTTTTTGGCTTGATTATTGCACCGCTACAAATTATGACTTTCAAAGATAATAATGAATACTTCTTTACACAATCCGCTCTGAGAAACCGATTAATCATACTCGAGCTTAAAAAAATCACTTTTACCTAGCAAGATAAAAAGAAAAGAATGATGATTCTGCATACAATATCCAAGTCAAGCGCAAAAATGTATATGAAACATATTATATTTATTTAATGAATACGCATTATCGCAATATGTAAGAAGATAATATTTTCAATATTTTTAGAACTTGTGTGTGTGTGTATAACTTAAAGTTATTTAGATTATCATTTGTATCATTATTATTAGTATCGTTATTACCATATGTGTATTACATTACTCATCTTTATCATATGTGTATTATTATCATCAATTATCATCAGTAAAGTTTCATCACATGTTAAGTTTAGCATTTGTCGTGATAGTAGGCATTTATTTCTGATAAACGCGTCTTCGGATGATAAATAATAAATAAGTTTTAATAACAAATTATTGGCATTTTTTTAATAATGCTAAATCTATACAACATTAAATTTTGTTTGAAAAAAGTACTTAACTTTATCACGGAATGCGTGAGTAAGAGCAACATTAATATTACACACTATTTATGAAAAGACCTTTAGCAAAAAATTCAATTATTCTGATATATTTTAGTTATTATTAATTTTTAAAACAGAAAAACAGAAATTTCACATTATTTGCTCTTTAATAACTTTAGTGGAAAAAATTCTTAAAAATAAGATTGTATATAACTCTTGCTTACGACTCTCACTTTATATTTCTCAATCAATTGACACGTCATCTCCTCATCAAATTCCGGATATACAATCACTTTGGTGCCTTGCACGATCGATTTTAGATTCAACTTTATCCCGCTAATCCAGTAAAGTGATGAAAACCACATTGACACTTCATTATTTATATCGAAGTCTTTTTTGTCGTTGCCGCACAATAGACTATAATTGGATATTTCCACGCCCTTCGGCATTGGCATTCCCGTGGTGCCTGACGAGTGCATGATGCACGCCGTTTGCTTGATGTCATCGACATCGACATATCGAAAATTTGCCACTTCCGCATCGCTGTACATGTTTAAAATGTCGGAAAATGAGATCGCATCGGGATGATTGCCGAAAACCACAATAGTTGGATTGCAATTAATCTTTTTTATTGTACTCAAGATAACGTTCACGGGTTTCTCAGTACAGAAGATTACTTTCGGAGTAGTCAGCTTCATAAAATGCAGCGCGGTTTCTAACAACAAGTAACGCATAATTAATAAAAGCTACATATATCAAATAAAAAACACTAAATAAAATAAATAATACATAGACGCACGTTATTACACAACTAACAATAAATAATAAATAAAATAAGATCTAATTAATTTAACATAGACAAAATTATATTTACTGTGGTTGAAATTATATTATCTCTGATTATTTATTTATTAATCGAATATAACATAACAACGTTTTTTTTTAACTCGCAGAAGAGCTTACGCAGGTCGATGTTCTCGTTCCACGGATTAAAGATCGCGTTGATATAAACTGCTGCCAAGCAGGGCACGATGGAATTGAGATGATTATTTGTGCACAGACTGACAACATCGCCGGATTTGATTCCTTGCTTTTGTAACCACAATGCGCATCTTACAACTTTGTCTTGTAGTTCCGCATATGTAACCACATTTCCTGTGCGTCCGTCTAACTACGATATTATTGCTATTATACAGACTGTTACACTTTAAATATCCTTTAGGTTTTCATTGCAAATTTTTTAACCATCTTTAAATTATTACCACTATTCTACAGTATCTTGTGTAGTTTCTTAAAAGTGTTTATATTTATATGAAATCAATTTGCGAATTATATTTAATAATATTAAAAATAAATGATTTAATTGCAAACTAATATTAATTGTTAAATATTATGTAGTATATATATATACAGGGTGTCCGGTAAAGATTGTGCCAACGCTCGTGAGCGGCTAGAGCACAGTAAACTGAACAGAAAAATCCTGTAACATTTTTTTATATAACGCTAAATAAAGGAGTTATTATTGAGTAAAATCTGGTCAATTAGCGCCGATTGTTAGCCGGACGCACGTCGGTGAGCCGCCCGCCTGATAGTATGCGGCGGCGCACACTTCACAGCGCGGGGCTCACTGACGTGCGCCCGGCTAAAGGTTGGCACTGATTGGCCAGATTTTACTCAATAATAATTCCTTTATTACGCCTTATATAAAAAAAAAAATGTTACAGGACTTTTCTGTTCAGATTACTGTGCTCTACCCGCTCACGAGCGTTGGCACAATCTTTACCAGACACCCTGTATATATATATATATATATATATATTTGTATAAAATTCTATGTTTGCAGTATTTAATATACATTGTATGTTTTGCTGATATTAAAACAAAATTAAATTAAAAAAATAAAAATTTTATACAATTTAATTTGCATTTAGTTTTTAAATAATTTTATCCACATTTATTTTAGTTTTCTCAAGATTAAATTCTCTCTTTTTAAAAACACCTATAGCATAGACGTCATCGAAAGTTTCCTAAGAGAGATAGTAGTTTTAAATATTTTAAAAGAGATAATAGTCTTAAAACATTTATTACTTCTTCTAATATAATTGTTTCATTTCTCGAGACAAATCGAGAACGAGAGATCGATAGTTTTATTATAGGTATCTAAGACAAAACATAACAAAAAGGTTGCGAGATTGGACAATTAAGTTGCAATTATTTTAAGATTTTTATTTTTGTTTGATACAGGTATTTTCAGTTATGTAGTTTTTAATAAGTTTTTTGCTCTTTACGTATTGTAATAAAACAATTATCATAATAGCATAAAAACTTATGTTTGTTTTTCTCTGCATACGTATTATAATATGCGTGGCAGAAGACGCGCATATATTGTTACTCTATTAGTACAACTTTTCTCAATAATTTTTTTCACGTTTTAACTCTGTATCAAAATATTAATATAAATTTTCTATTTTGTTTATTCAATTGTTTAAAAAAAACATATCTCCATAAAAGATCTGCATTGTATTTATAAACATGCTAATAAATGAGCGATTATTAATAAAATTACTATTTCTATCATTTATATCTCTCAACAAATACATATTAATAGAAAGTTTTTTTCGTTTTAAGACTGTTTTTATTTATTTAAGTAAAAGTGTAAATCCTGGATGTCTTTTTTTACAGAAACACTCTCTAATCACTCTCTTATCACTCATAAAGATTGACTTACGTATATAATCTTATCTCCATAACTTTTAATCTTAGTCCATATTATCTCTACAAAGCTCTTGTAGTTAGTAATATAAGACGACATTTTTCCTTTGTAGATATTATTTTCCACAATAAAATTCTGAAAATGATAGAAATCTATTATTTTAAATAATTACAATATCTTTGCAAATCTTTGTAACAAACTTGCGCTCTATATGTTTAATTTGTATCCCTAATGCTATATTTCTCTCTTGTTTAGATATTATATAAAATATATACGTGTGTGTATGAGTGACTATGTATATATACATATATGCACGACTATTTTTACATTTACCTTTGAGCCATTCGCAACCATTTTGCTGGAATCCAAGTGTTTGATCTTAAGTATAAGATGCTGGCAGCACGAATAAATAGCAGCGTTACGATAATATCACTGCATCACAAACAATTGCGTTTAATGAACTCTGTCATGGCCGTTTCAATCGGTTAAATTAAAATGTATATATATTAATACACACATATAAGAAAAGAATTTTCCTCCAATAAAAAGATTCTTTTCTAAAATGTGATATAATGCTATATTATATGTTTTATAGATTTATTTACATTTCTTGTTTTTTTCAGTTAGATTATAACAAAAATTATTGAATCATGCCGTGTTTAATGTAATTTGTCGCAAAAATCTCATTAATCCATTAAAAACACTTAAAAAAAATTGATTAATAACATAAGAATATTAGAAAAGAAATGGTTTTTTTATATCTTTAATAGTGACATTATATGTGATTGCTAGATGAAGTGAATGATTCTGAACAACAATATACATAACGCATAAAATTAAATGCACATTAAAGTATCGCCATGTGTGCGATTTAAACTATATTTTTGTTTGTATGTGTGTGCAATTAAATTGTCAAACTATCTAGTTCCAAATGTTAAAGTGTCTAATGGGAAAAATTTCTCAAATTTGAATACAAATAGTATACACTAATTACAATAAGGAATATATATTTTATGTCTGAAAGAGATGAAAAGAATTTTTACACTATTTCAGAATCAGAGTCCTATAAACGCAAAGCAGAAATAAACGAACAACGATCTGGTCGTAGGCGAATATAAACTATCATAACTCGTACTTTAAGGCAATTGTAAGTTATATACCTTGATATTCCTCTCTCCATTTTGCTTTTGATTTGTATGAACAACACAGTTCATAAATTCTATTGTCCTATTGTTTATTTTATTATTGTGTAATGTATTCTTATGTGATTATAGCAACAGCCATTATCTCAAACATTTTTGATGTTCTAGTATCATCATCAGGCCAACCTGAAGTAATTTTATAAAATCGCTAAAGTTATATACATCTATCTATTTACCTTTGCTAAACAAGATATAAATCTCTCTGCCTACTTTTACTGACATCAATTATCATCCATTCCAAAAAAAATTTAGTTTGTTTTTATGATGTTTTGTTAAATTTGATAAAATTTAGTCTATTTAATTTGTTGATATAAAAAAGATATTTATTTATATGTAAAAATACTCGTTTAATTTAATTTATAGCATTTTTCTTGCCAAGGCAACAAAGTTATATTGCTATATATATTTGGCGCAATAAATTTCGCGTGACACAAATACGCGATAAAAAATACATGTAACGATAAAAAGAACAAACGTTAAGAGATTAAATCCATGTGTCAACATTTTCAGTAAAATTCATTTAGTCATCTTCTCTCATAAAAAGTAATTGTCATTACAAATGTAAACGACCAGCATGACGTAATATGATAACGTTATCATCATCGAAACCAGAATTTAAAAATTACGTAATCAATGTTTATCCAAGTCTAAATTTTTTCTAAATTCAATTTTATGTAATAAAAATATTCAATGCTAAATTTAGAAGAAATAATAATACCTTATATACATCTACATTATTCTTAAACTTTATATTTTAAGAACGCATGTCATAATATTTTTAATCGATAATTAAATTATTTTATTAAACTTAGCTTCTATCGACGACAACAAAGAATAAGAAAAAAAAATGAAGAGACAAGTTACGAATGAAAAACTGTAACACGAAGCATGGTGTAAAAATCGAAGAATGGAGGAAAAATTCCTCTTTGCTATAATTATTGATTAGTTATTTCTATAATCTCGGCAGCTTTTACATACATCAGTTTCCTTTAATATAGTTTGACATAAATTTTTAGTAAATCCGATAAACAAATATAAGTTCCAATAACAAATATGTTAAAGAAACATTCTAAAACAAAAATAATGTTTATGATTAAAATTTAATAAATATCTAAGATAAGACAATTGCACAAATCCCATATTACCAAGCCATACACACACATACACATACACTGGTATGATGTAAATCGATTGATATTGTATATGTATAGTAATTCAACTTTTCTAGATACATTTATATACATACAACATATATTTTATTAATAATTACATTTGCAGAACAAAAGATTATTTATTACTAAAAATATTTATATAAAACATATAAAATTTATATTTTATTCAAAATCTCGTGATAAATGCGTCATGGTTTTATGATAAAATGCACATTAAAATTTTACTATTTCTATATGCAATTCGACATTTATTATATATGTTAGTTTATATATTTAGTAATATTTTCATAGAGATGTTTCACGATTGCCAGATAATGGCATTTTACTGTGTAAATATTTGGCTGCCATTTTACAAATTTCTTTACGAGCCAAAAATCCATTTTGAAGTATTGGAAGACCTATAGCGAATAGTACGCTCATACGAAGGTGCATGCAATTCGAATATTTCGCAACGAATTGCTTCAGCTCCTCTTCGGTCACCTAAAACATCAAAATGTAAATTCTGCATAATAAATAAATTTGCTTAATTTTACGAGAAAAAATATTAAGTTTGAACCTTTGATTTTTTTCTTCGTACAATTAATGCCATTAAATGCTCCCCATAAGAAGCATTCCACATAAGTGCTACAGCAGCAGTGCACACTCCCGGATGACATGTTATTAAGTACTCAAGTACTAAACAATGATGGTTTTTATATTTTATATTATGTTCACCTCGATCGAGGATGTAGATATTACCATTTGGTTCATAATAGCCCACATCTTCAGTATGGAACCATCCTGAGCAACGCGCAATATTTCATTACACAAGTATAATTTGAATAAATATAAGAAGATGATTATTATTACTATTGGTATACACTTCTCTAGAATATGCATTAGATCAAATATTAAGGAGCAATGTGAGAAGAGAAAAATGAGATATCAAATCCCTTTTTTCTTTTTCTTTTTCTTTTTTATTTTATAATTATTTTAAACAATTGCACGTAACAATATATAAACTCTACAAAAAATGACCCAATAATTTTTTTATCATTTAAAAATAATTGAAAAATATATATAGCCAGTAATAATAATCTACCTCATGATAGTTTGCGTAATGTTTTCTTATTAATTATTTATAATTTTAGACATTTTATATATCGCAATTATAAAAATAAATTAAAGAAGTTATAACTAACCATTCTTATCAGTAATTGTCTTAGTGGGCGTCGTAGAAATAGAATAGGCATTTAACAAAGACGGAGATTTGCACCAAAGCACGCCAATCTTGTATGGTTTTACCGGTAAACTGTCTTTTACATCAACAAATACTAAATGAATATTTTTACCCACGCTAAATGCGGATTTTTCAGTCTTTCGCTGATAAGCGATCACACCTGTTTCAGGCAGACCTTAAACAATATAAGAGCTATTAATATTAGATTTTGCGTCACTATCATTGATTGTTGATTATATTTGTGACAAATGTACATACAATATACTTGAATAACAGAAATATTTGGAAGCGCACGGATAAACTCTTTATAAAGACAATTTGGAAATGGATTACCGCCAATTAGCACTTGTTTCAAGGAAGAGATGTCAGAATTTTTAAAAATGTAAAGTGGTGGAAATCGGAAACACATTCTAGTTTCAAGGAATATCCAAGTTACCTGAAAAAAAAAGAAATATATAAATATTTTATCTCTTCAACAAGAGATTAACATATCTTCATATATTACCTTATACTTTTCTATTAAGTTACATAAGTGAGATTTATCACTCGTGTCAAATAATCTATGAAATTTAATCGCTTTTACGTAGGAAAGTATAGCACGAACTGTCAAAAGCAAACTGATATTCCAACCTAAGGATGCAGGCCATAAGCCGACGTCATTGGACACCATAACGGGCGCTTCTTGATTTGATGGTGCTGTGAAAAATGTATGAGGAATTACCACATCCTTGGGAATCAAACCAGTTACACCACAGGCAAATATTATCATCGCGGTATCTTTGCTACTTTTCAATTCTACGCAAGAAAATTCGTCAATTTCAGTCTTATCAAAAGCACCATTTAATATCGATACCATAGATATAAATGTGTTTATTTCATTGCTTTTTGCTTTGCTTTTCTTTTTGTCTTTCTTTTCGAAAATCACGATTTTTGTAGAAATATTCATTATTCTTGCGATTTTGAGAATACACGGAGCTTTGTCGAAATCAGTAAAAATTACCTTTGGGCTACTTTTCTTCAAAAAGTATCTTAAATTCACTAAAAATATTTTCACACAATTAAGTATATATATACACATACATGTATATTGTCATAATAATAAATAAAACAGAAATTCAGAAAAAAATTTACTTACTTATTCGACTTTCATGCCATACAGATAAAATAGCCCCGATATACAGAGTCGCTAAGTATGGTATATAAGTATTAAAATGATTGTGAGAATACACTATTATAACGTCATTGCGTTGAACACCCAATTTTTTCAGCCATAATGCACATTTTACGCTCCTTTCTCTCATCTGCTGGAATGTATTTTCTGCTCCTGTCGTTGCATCTACCTACGACAGATAACATGCAATAAAATAATGTAATGCATTATATTTAGAATTATGTAATTTTACATTGATAATTTATAATTTTTTTTCTATATATTTCCGTACAACATAATTTTAATTATTATTAGTATGAATCATACTTGGCCAATAAAATCCGGTCTGGATTTAAATGCATTCAAAATCGATTCTCCAATATTGATGCATCTGTCATCGATTGGATCTTCCTCTCCAATCAATACATCTATTTTGAAAGAAACTGTGGGCTAAAGTATATATATATATATATACACAATAATGTTTCTATCTTTTTAAATATTTTGTAAAATAGAATCTTATGACGTATACATATAATTTTCTCTTACCTCTTGTGCCATATTACTGTAATAATGCAGTTTCTCTTTATTTATGTTACTGTAATAATGATATTAGAAATACTTTAAAATTATGTGTGAGATGAGGAGAATAATATTATTGTTCATTACCACGGACACTGTGTGACTAACGTTTAATTTTGTTTGGGGCCGTATTGACATAATGTTTAGTGTCCTTCAATCTACAAGTTGTGCGAAAATATTTTGGTCAGAAATGCTGTTAAATATTCTACAAATCTATACGTTATATATATTTAGTCTATCAATTTGATAATCCAATATCAATTTCGAAAAGTTTTAGTCTGTTAAAAAATCTTATAATTAATTATTTATATACATTAATTAACATTATTTACAAATAATACAATAATGCAAATTTAATTAAAGCAATATGTTTTTTTAGAAAGTGACTAATTTAAATTATTATATTATTATCTTTGTATATTATTTCTTTATAGATTTTGCTGATAAAAATATTGCTCAATAAAGTAATTAATGCTATTTACACTAAAAGTTATGCTAATGAGACAAGTATACATAAATATTTACACAACATTTATAAATTGTTGATTTTAAATATTTAACATTAAATTTTATTTAAAGCACATTTTGGATTATGTATCTTAATTAGACTATTAGATTTCGTAATATCATACTCTTTAATTGGATTCAATTGCATCATTTAAATCGCATTAATTTTTTGAATCTGATATTCTCTTCTATGCATGTTTTTTTCTTTCTGTTTGATTACAGTTAAATTCAGTTGTAGCAAGTTCTCGATATAATCTTGATAGCTTATATATATAGTTTTGTTTATTTTCGTGTTTTGTTTATTTTCTTAATATGAATTTTGAAATAATCTCACGAACAGAGTATAATAGAATAAATTTAAAAAACATTATAAGCAAAATAAAGCTCACGATTACAATATAGTAAGTATACGAAATAATTACACAAAAGTTTTTGTCAAGAACTTTTGATACGAAAACGATTAAATATTCGTGACATCATTCCATACGTGCACTATGGTAGTGAGTGTAAGTACGTGAATAGCTTGATTTGACATACAGACAACTTTTTTTTAATTTAAAAAATAGATTAAAGTAACCACTACTATCTCTCTTTTTTACATATTGTACAAGAATAATAAAATCATTTCAGATATGTTTCTAATGAACATCAAAATTCATGAACCATATTTTAAAACTATTTTACAAAGTTTATATATAATACATAATTAAAATAAATATCTTATGTATATGTTCTAAATAAGTATAAAATGAATATTTATTTGTAATTTAAAAATATTTTTATTTTGCTATTAAACATCATGTACAAATAATATTTCTTTAATAAGGAACTTAAAAATATTAAATAAAAACCGAATATAAATTTTTATTCTAGAACATGTTAGGTATAAAAAAATTATGTTATGAAAAAAATAGGCACCACACTATGCGCGCGACTGTCACGTCCGCAATTCAATAATTAATTTACATATTTGCATATATTATTGAAAACTGTATTTAAATAATAAAAAAAATATTTGTTACTACATATGTTGACGATACAATATATACATATATATGTAGGTATATATGTATATCTATTTTTTACTGAAAGCCTAACATGGCAAATGCGTCATATATTTATATTACAGATTACAGCACATTAAAGTTTTGTCATATTATGTAATCCTACAGTCGTACATCAGCTTATTTAAATAATATCTATTTCTGCAGACTATAAAATAAATATAGCGCTAATATAAATCAATTAAGCTTTTTTAGAAGCCTTTTTAGAAAGAAATGCTTTATCCTTTAGATCATCTTTTGCCCACTTACAAAGAGTTCTACGATCCAGCCATCCATTAGGCAAATATTGCAGTTCGTCCTTGAACAGCACGCCTGCACGAAGCTTCATGCAATCGGTTACATTTTTCGCTACAAATTCTATTAACTCTTCCTCCGTTACCTAAAGTACAACAAACAAGAACGTTTTTTATATTATCAATATATTTATTTTTATATTATCAATATATTAATTTGACAAAAAATGATCAATTCTAAACCTTTGATCCCTTCTTTCGTACAACAAACGCCAATGGATGTTGACCGTCAAAAGTATTAAATATAGGTGTCACACCAGTATCTTCTACCTCCGGATGTCTTAGTAACACTTGCTCAATATTTAGCGGTAAAAAATAACTTTCTTTGTATTGTATAATATATTTTTTACGATCCAAGACGTAGATATCACCATCTGAATCGTAATAGCCTACATCATTGGTAATGAACCATCCTGAAAAAATTGTGATATTTTATTAAAAGCACAATTTTAATATACATAAAAATAAACACACACATTTTAACATGTTACACACGCTATATGTTGAAAACAAACACCAAATATTTAATTTTTATTTGTTTTTTTTTATTTATACTTTTATTGATAATAAAAAATTGCGTAAGAATATACGTAATCTACAAAAGAAGAAAAATAAACCAATGATTTTAATACTCTTCATAATGATTGACATACATAACTAATGTCGACGATTTTCTATATATCTATATCTATATACATATGTCGGTGGTTTTTTTCTTTTTTTTTTTTAATTAATTATTTGTACTACACTTAAGCCGTCTTACATATATCAATAATAAAATCAATTAAATAAAACTATAACTAACCACTATTATCGGTAACAGGCACTAAATCTCCGGGGATAGAATTGAAGCAACCGTTCTTCATATATGAAGATTTGCAAGAGATAACGCCCATTTTGTTTGCTTTTAAGATTGATCCATTAACATAATTAGTAATCATCAAATTAACAGTTTTAGTCACGTAACCGTTAGATCCAGCTTTCCCAGTTTCTCGCTGGTAAGCGATCACACCCATTTCAGGTAAACCTTAAACAATGCAAGAGCAATACATCAATAATATTAGATTGCGTTACTATTATTTTTTATATCGTTTCTTCACTATCGTTGATTGTTGGTTATAATTGTAATAGGTATACATACAGTACGCTTGAATAACAGAAGCGTTTGGCAGCGAACTGACAAAATTTTTGTGTTTGTTTAGTAGAGCAGTTCTACCGCCGAATATTATTTGTTTCAAAGAAGAGACATCGTACTTGTCAAAAACATCAAATTTAGAAAAGTCGTCACTCATAGCAATTTTCAGAAATACCCAAGTTACCTAAAAAAATAAAAATATGAATATTTTATAATTTATAAATTTTCCACAACAAGAGATTAAAATATAGTTCAACATTACCTTGTATTTTTGTATAATATCACAAAAACAGTTTTCAAACGATGGGTTTAAAAATTTATTTATTTTGACCGCCTTCACGTACGAAAGAATACAGCGAACTGTCAAAAGCAAACTGATATTCCAGTGTAAGGATTCAAACCATAGACCTACATCATTGGACGACATAATGGGTATTTGCTGGTTCGATGGAGATGTGAAAAATGCATGTGTAATTGCCACATGTTTGCGAATATCACCAATTGTACCGGAAGAAAAAAGTATTACTGCAATGTGCTTTTTATTGTCCAATTTTGCACAAGTAAATTCATCGATTTCATGTTCATCAAAATCACTGTTTAAGATGGATTCCAGAGATTCGAATTCCTCTTCCTCTTCGCTTTTTTTATTTAAAATAATAATTTTCGTAGAAACCTTCGTCATATTTACCACTTTGAGAATTGTCGGAGCTTTATCAATATCGGTAAAAATTACTTTTGGATCACTTCGTAAATAGTGTATTAAATTAACTGAAAATGTTGATGATTAGGTATACAAACTAATTTATATATACATATAGATATATAATCTTAAAAATAAATAGGACAAAAATTCAGAGAAAAGTCAACATACTTATGCGATATTCGTGCCATACACACAAACTAGCACCAATATATAGAGATGCCAAGTACGGTATATAAGTATCCAAATGATTGGACGTGCACATTGTAACAATGTCGTTACATTTAACGCCAAATTTCTTCATCCATAGTGCACATTTTACACTGCGTTCTCTCATTTGTTGGAATGTATTTTCTTCTCCCGTCTTTGCATCTACCTACGACATGCATCAATTGCATTGCAATAAAATAATATAATGCATCATGTTTAAGAGAATCATGTAATTTTATGTTGATAATTAATGAATCTTTTTCTGTATAGTTATGTGCAATATAATTTCTATTATTATCATGCATCTATATCTTACTTGGCCAATGAAGTCCGGTTTAGATTTAAATGCATTCAAAACCGATTCCCCTATATTGATGCATTTGTCATCAATTGAATCTTCCTCGCCAATCAATACATTGTTTTTTATCTTAAAAGGAACTGTGGACTAAAATATATATACGATAATATTATTTAGTAGAAGAGATAATATTTCCTTTTTACCTTTTATATCTTATTCGGTATTTTATAAAATGGATCTTATAGTATATACACATATAATTTTTCTTTACCTTAGATGCCATATTGCTAGTATTTCGGTGTTTTTCTATCTCCTACGTTACTGCAATAAGAAAATTAAAAGAATACTTTGATTTAAATTAGAAGAATAATACTATTGTATACCACAAAGCTACACAATGACTAACATTTGATTTCTATCGACACAGTATTGTTATGATATGAAATGTCCTTTAGCCGAAAATTAAACAAACATATTTTGATCAGGAAACTGCTGAGTTATATATACAATATATATATTTGTTACAATTCTATGCCTTATATATATCTACCCAAATTTCTTTCTACTTATGATGTAGGTATATCACAATCTTTACTATAAAAATGCATTTTTTCAAGATGCTATCCTAAAAAAATACACACTATTTTGTCAGAAGTGTAATATAAATATAAAAAAGAAAACATGACACCGATATACCCTGCACTTTTTTATAGATATAAGCAAATAAAGAGGCAATATGAGCCACAAGTATCACGTTAAGAGATTTATTAATTGTGTGAAGGCAATTGACAAATATCAAATTAAAGCAAAAAAAAAGTGATACGAATCAACATACAAATATGATAATAAGAAGGCGAACATTTCGGCCCTCTTTTTGTGGCCATCTTCAGCGCAATTAAAATAATAAACATGAATACATAAAAAAATATCGCGGTCAGCAATTAAAATTAGATTGTAAACGCAAGAATTCGCTCAAACAAGCATCTCGAGAGGAAGAACTCCCCGGATGATAGGCCAGAAAGTTCACATCGTAAAAAGTTATAAAGGCTTGCCGGCATGTTGACATGCAAAACCCGAAAGTCGAGATTCTTGTAGAAGCGTGCAATAAGGAGTTAAGAGCGCTTACGAGTTAATAGTAACAATGTAAAACTTACATACAAATGCAACAGATCTATCACAATAATGAGTATATGACACGAAACAATTATGTATCCACTTTAAAGATCAAGTTATCTCTAAGATGTTTCACGAGACTTTAAACTTGTGTGTATACAGTGCTAGGTCATTGGCCCTCGGTGACATAAGAGTAAACACAACAGCTCGTTACACAATCGAATATGTATTTATATCGGGATGGAAGAAATCAAAATATACGCGTCTTGAAAATAATCACAAAGACAATCTTATGCATTAAATGTTGGGGAGTTTATCCAACGAAGTTATATATGTCTGGTGCAAGCCCTCGGTATCCGTTTGTAAATTCAGACCATTAATTTGTCTCCTTATGAAAAACATCTCAGATATTAGTCGTTTGTTTAGATATTTTTCACTGTCTAAAATCCGGACATGGTTCCAGTCAAAATCATGGTCAAACTCTAATCTATGATTGGTAATCACCGAACCAACTGTTGTATTTCTACGTATGTGGTTGCGGTGTTCCCCGACTCTCGTCTGTAATCTCCTGCCTATCTGACCTACATAAGAGGCATCACAGTATGCACAATTGATCATATAAATGACATTAGTGCACGATGCACTGGGAAGGACGTCTTTATGTACCCTAATAAAGCATAACAATTTATTAAGACTACAGTAAGAAAGCTTAACGTCAAGATCTTTTATGATATTTTTAAAGTTTGTTTTTTATAGTTTGTGTTTTGTTAGAGTGAGAAGCGTTTTCTTATATAATATCTTTTTTGTTCTCTTTTTATTTTACAAAATCCGACACAACAATACAAGTAATATAAATAAAATAAAAAATTAATTAAACAAATTAATTAAACAAGTAATATAAATAAAATAAAAAATTATCACGGTAATGAGTTTATTTTTTTAAATGATTTATACCATAAATGTCAGATATTTTTTGTAAATCCATAGTTTTTTATAGACGAATTGTGTTACTTCGACCATCTCATACGTTACATTTATAAAACTAATGAAATGAAATTGTAACTAATCATTATCAGTGTCGAGCATAGATAAATAGATATTAAGTAAGAAAGCCAAAAGAATAGCAGCAGAACAAGTAGCAGCAGAACATGAAAAATAAAAAGAAAAAAGCGTGAGTTTATGAGATAAAAGCGTGAATTTACAATCGAATTGACAATTTTTATTTTGCCATTAAAAAGGTGCTTAACATAAAGCTACCAAGCTCCAACGGCGAAAAATTGGAAATCGATGTCGAGATCACAAAATATTTGATCATCATTACAAGATCATGTTGGAGGATCTACGTATGAACGAGAGATTGTGATGAAAAGAAGATTGTGCTGTTGCTACCAAATGTTAACTCCGCTATTTTCAGGAAAGTCAGGCAGTGGGTTACGTATTACCAGGACGACCCCTCCATCACCAAAATGATGAAAACAAAGAGAAGCGTACCCATGACATCAATTAATGAAATGCTGATTTTCTAAAAGTTGATCAAGGCACTCTCTCTCTCTCTCTCTCTCTCTCTCTCCCTTTCTTCGAAATGATTCTGGCAAACTACTTCGACATTAAAAATCTCTTAAATATAACATGCAAAAATATGATCACCATAATATGATCAAAGACAAGACACTCGGGAAGATATGTAAAACATTCAAAATCAAAAATAACTTCACTGCTTCACAGGAAGAGTAGATGGGCAAAAAGAAAAAGTGATGTGAGGAAAAATAAAATGCAAAAATATCTTGAATGTTGAACAACTCTCGTCATTGCATTGCTAGATTTCGAATTTAGTAATTTTTATAAATTTCTCTCCATTGAAAGTAAATCTCTTTGAAAAAATATGAACTAATTGGAGTAAAAATATCGTTTATTATCTATTTTCTTTAAATGGAACAATAAATATGAATTACTTTGGCAAATATATCCTTTCCAACTTATGCTATAAATGCACATTGATTTTTGTCATTTAATACAATATAATTTCCGCGAGCGCGAAACATTATATTAACGTCAACTTACATAAACATATGTGTATTTTTACAGACCGTATAAAATAAGTATAGCGCTATAAATTAATTAAATTCCTTTTGTATTGAATACGTGCTCCCTCGCAAATTTGCAAATTGTTCTACGATCGTAATGTCCAGAATGAAAGTTTGCCAGAGTTTTCATAAACAGTACTCCTGCACGAAGCTGCTTACGATCGTCATCTATATGCTGCGCTACAAATTTAATTATGTCTTCCTCCGTTATCTGAAGTACAACAAACAAATAAACATTACATAAATCATTTTTTTATTCATTTAATTTTTCGGAAAATGATTAATTTTTAACCTTTGATCCCTCCTTTTTTATAACCAACGCCATTGGATGATGACCATCGGAAAAATTATATATAGGTACTACAACAGCCTGTTCTATCTCCGGATGCGCTTGTAACACTGACTCAATTTGGAATGGTGGAAACTGATAGTTTCTGTATGATATAATGTTACCTTCTTTACCTCGTTCGATAATGCGAATACCACTGTTTTCACTGCCATAGCCTATTTCATCGGTATGAAACCACCCTAACAAATATTCCAGAAACATAATTTGTATATGCTTCAAAAATTTGATATGTTACACACATATAGATTTCTATCATACACATGTTAAAAACAGAAACTAAATATTTAATTTTTATTTATTCACTTTTTTAGATGACAATGAACAATTGCGTTTGAATAAATGTAATCTATAATACAGGACAAAAATAATCCAATGATTCTACCATTTTTTATAAAAATTGATACATGCATGTAACTATATAATACCAGAAATTTTCTGTATTTCTCTGTATGTCAATGTTTCTTTATTAACTATTTGTATTATTTTAGCTACCTTATACATTACATACAATAACAAAATCAATTAAATAATAACTAACCATTATCGGTAACAGCAATTATATCTCCAGTCGTAGAATTAAAGTAGCCGTTTGTCAAGGACGGAGATGTGCACCAGATAAAACCATGTTTGAAAGGTGGCAACGGTAATGTAGTATTAAAATCAGCAAACAGTAATGCAACATTTGTACTCAAGTAAGAAAACAATCTTTCTCCATTGTTGTGATGGAAAGCAATCATACCTGTTTCAGGTAGACCTTAAACAATACAAGAGCCATAAATATAATATTAAATTGTGTTATTATCATTTCTTCACTATTGTTTGTCTCGTTGATTATAATGAATTGTAATAATTATAATAAATATACATACAGTATGCTCGAGTAACAACAGCGTTTGGCAACACAGTGACAAGTGATGAGAAACAAGTAAATGAAGTATTTCTACAGCTGTATATCATTTGTTTCAAGGAAGACATATTGTACCTTTCAAAAACTTCAAAGTTAGAAAATTGTTCAACCATACCCATTTTTAAAAATACCCAATTTACCTGAAAAAGAAAATAAAAATGTAAATATATTCTAATTCATACATTTTCAACAAGAGATTAAAATATTTGAACTTTACCTTATACTTTTGTATAATATTACAAAAGCACTCTTCAAGTGATGGATTTGAAAATTCATTTATTTTGATCGCCTTCACGTACGAAAGAATACAGCGAATTGTCAAAATCAAACTGATATTCCAATGTAAAGATTCGACCCACAGACCTACGTCATTAGACGACATAACGGGCATTTGCTGGTTCGATGGAGATGTAAAAAATGCATATGGAATTGCAACATGTTTGCGAATATAACCAATTGTACTAGAAGAAAACAGAATCACTGCGGTGTCCCTGTTACTCTCCAATTTTGTACAAGAAAATTCATCGATTTCGTCTTTATCAAAATCACTGTTTAAGATGGATTTTACAGATTCGAATTGCTTTTCCTTTTTGCTTTTCTTTTTAAAAACTATAATTTTTGTAGACACGTTCATTAGTTTTGCCACTTTAAGAATTACCGGAGCTTTGTCGATATCGGCAAAAATTACCTTTGGACCACTTTGTATATAGTATCTTAAATTTACTAAAAATAATAACACAAACAATTAACTATACAAACTAATTTATATATACATATAGATATATAATGTTAAAAATAAATAGAATAAAAATTCAAAGAAAAGTCAATTTACTCGTGCGATATTCATGCCATACAGATAAAATAGCGCCGATATACAAAGTCGCCAAATACGGTATATAAGTATCCAAATGATTTGATGTGCACACTGTCACAATGTCGTTACGTCGAACGCCAAATTTCTTCAACCATAATGCACATTTTACACTTCGTTCTCTCATCTGTTGGAATGTGTTTTTTTCTCCCGTCTTTGCATCCACCTACGACATGCATCAATCGCATGGCAATAAAATAATATAATGCATCATGTTTAAGAGAATCATGTAATTTTACGTTGATAATTAATGAATCTTTTTCTGTATATTTATGTGCAAAATAATTTTTATTATTATCATGCGTCTTACTTGGCCAATGAAATCCGGTTTAGATTTAAATGTATTCAAAATCAATTCTCCGATATTGATACTGTCATCGATTGGAGCTATCGGTCCAATCCATATATTTTCTGGTATAATTAAGGGAATTGTTGACTAAAATATATACACGATAATGTTATTAGTGTAAGAAACAACATTTCTACCTTTCTGAATATTTTATAGAATGGATCTTATGGCGTATATAGATATAATTTTCGTTTACCTCAGATGCCATATCACTGGTATTTCGATGTTTCTCTTTATCTCCGTTACTTCGGTAATAATGTTGAAAGTTTTTTGATTTAAATCAGGAGAGAATAATACCATTGTTATGACGGTTACAGTGTTACTAATATTTCATCTTTATCGACATAATATTGTTATGATCTAAAATGTCCTTTAGCCTAAATTTTAAGCCAAAATATTTTGATCAGAAATGCTGTTAAGCATTCTAAAATATGTGAGCAAAAATTTAATGCTTTGAATTAATTTATGCCATTTTTTTGTAACTAAATATTTTTGTTACAAAAGAATGATGCAAATAGAAGTAAAAGATTAATTTTCTGCTCAGGAAAATGCTCAAAATAGCATATTGGATTAAAATATTTTCGACAGCATTTAGGTATATTATTTCCAAATGTTTGTTAATAAACAAATATAACAAAAGTATTCAAGTTGATTGGAAACACATGGTACATAACTAGACAATTTGTTGTGCCACATGTTTATTGTATATCTTTTTATCTTCCATCAGCTTTTTCAGCATCTCACTGATAATAAGAAAGAGAGAAATTTTATATATATATATATATACTCTACTCTATTAAATATATTTAAGAAAAAAAAAAATATTTCTATTTTACTATAAGCATCCCTGAGTGAATTTGTACTCCAATAATACAATACGTGCTAACGTCATACATCAAACCGATAATCATAACAACTTATCATTAACGAGTATTTCCTTTTTTTTTTTAATTTTAATTAATATTACATGTATATACATTACTTACGTTGAGATTGAAAATCAATCGCGAATAAAAGATATGGATTTTTTCGATGAAAAATATTTTTTAATATCAATAATTAAGAACGAGTAATTAAAAACGCATTTGATCGCGCGTTTAACAAATTTATAATAAATTAACTATGTATTAATAATGTAAGAATTATTTACGTACAATTAATTATTCCGAAGAATTCTCGCTAATTCTCAAGTATAAGGGAATAAAATACAACAATTTATATTAGGGTATGCAAATTGTAAATAATCGATGATTCATTTTCCGAAATATTTCTAGCTGTTCATTATGTTTCGTATCATAAGCGTTGCTACTTATATATACATATATATATATATATATATATATATATATATATATATATATATATATATATATATATATATATATATATATATATATATATATATATATATATATATATATATATATATATATATATATATATATATATATATATAAACAATAAAAAGAACATATTATTCTATAATACAATATACATGAAACTAAAAAACATTGACTCTTCCTCGTTTGCGTATTGTTTCTTATATATAAATATCGGTCATGCTGAGAGTTAGTTTCACCTACATTAATTTAATCAACTTATTTCCTTTCTTTTAAATCTGATTACGCCACAGATAAAGAAAAAGATTTAAATAAGAATATATGATCCATATTTGTGAAACTAGACTCCTGAGGCATATAAATAATATACACCGCACAATTATACTATTACAATAATCGATTACAATTAAAATAAAGCAAGCGTCCTGTAAACAAAATATATTTTTGTCACAAATAATTTTGTTTCGCGAATACTTCATATAATGCACAAATTTTTAACATTCGAGTCATGCAATTTGCTTTACAATAACGTGCAATACTGAAAACACAATCTTATCCGTCACAATCTATCACTTTTTAATATACTTCTGTAAAAAAAGACTTTTTTTGACAGAAAATTTAACAGTAATTAACATAAAATAAATATTTCTAACTGACATTATTACTCACTTTATTTATTGAATGTTTAATTATCGAATGAATTAACTAATCTCGCCAGTTTGTATCCTATTTTTAGAGAATTAAAACAAAAACAATTCGTAAAATAAAATCTAATGTTAATATAACAAGTACTATGTGTGTGAATATATTTCTATTTTTCCATTTGCTGCAAAATTTGCTTATATAATTGCGGAAAAAAACAATGCACTTTTATTCATCTATTTTTTTTTACGTCATGCAAATCACGTATTGTACTTTGATTCATTATTACGAATGGAAGCCCAAACATGGAAACGTTTATTGAACACCCAAACAAAGTACGATATCCAAGCAATACAAAAATCGAAGAGTTTGTGTTGTCTGAATGATTATTATTAATAACATAACTATTATTAATAACAATCATTGGCGTCCACAGCCATTACATTTTATCAGCTACACCTATCAGTATCACACATGAGTTATTATTACATAGGATGGCTAAAAGTCGACATCTACAAACATGCAAAATTTGAAAAAGTATATGTGTGTGAATTTAAACCAGATTGCATACGCGGAAATACCGTAGGTGGTGTCATGGTCCGCGTTTCACGAGAGGGAAATTAAAAATAATTTGTACAAAGCGCGCTTATAGACTGTTCGAGTTCACTCGTTGAATGACTTGATGATCGCTGTCAAGCTCTCGTATGTTCCGGTGGCGAAACCCAACACGCCGATCAGCACTATCATCACATCCTTCGTGATTGTGAAGAAATCGAGATTGGTGTTGTGCCAGCAGACGATCATGTCGATAATAGGCGGAAAAACGAGAGCAAGCGCGGTGCTACTGACCGCGCCAACCAAGGATATGAAAAGGCCCAATTTCGGTATCGCCTCCGCCAGGATAACTAAAATAATTGCTCTTAAGTCGAAACATTCACATGTATACATATTATATCTATAAGATCCGATCAGCAATTTAACAAAAATAATAAAAAGAAAAAGTTTTTAATAGTGACTAAAATATCTACGTATATAAGTGATATATAAAGTTTTCATATTTTCTATGTGTTTGAAAATAGAAAACATGTTCGAAATTTACAATTTGACAGATAAATTTAATAAAATAAATTTTATAACACATAGCCATATAAAAATTGATGATAGTACAAGTAATATAATTTAATAAATCTCTCTCTCTCTCTCTCTCTTTCAGATATACTTACATGTGGTGAGACATATGGCAGAACGGAAAATGATTTCCGCGAGTACCGGCCATTTAAAGGGACCGAATCTATTGACAATGCCTGGCCACATTATTGCGATGGGGACGTAAAATTGCAAGGCGTATGTAAGCAATATGCTTAATGAGATAGCGGTCTTGATGCATTGCGGCAAGCTGCAAAAAAATTTAATTTGAGAGTTAGCAAAAGGGAATTTGTCCGTTATAATATATATATATATATATGTATATGTGTGTTTGTATAGGTATATGGATATAGATGTTGATATTGGTGTGGATATATGTGTGCGAATATCATTTATATATTCTATATACTTAATTAATAATTGAAACATGCACGCGAGTGAAAACATGCACAAAGCACACACCACTTCTCTATTACAAGTTCTCATATAAATCTATCTTGCTAATCTATCTAGCTAATATTTATCGAACACGTCAAACAATGTATCAGGTAAAGACCTTAATTGACTGTAAATGGCTTCCCCGTCCATCCTTGAAATATATAAAGAGAGAGTAATGAATATTATAAAATATTTTTAACCGTAATTATTAACTCATATTTAATGTTTATAATTAAACACATCATGTATAGTTTACCGCAAACTTTATTGACGTACGATCTGATCTTAAGCTAATCATCTATCATCTATCTATAGTATAATCCACCTTGACAAGATAATGAGTCTCCTTATAATACTATATTCACAAAATGTAATTATATTTAGATAAATTCGATACTTACACTTCCTCTTGCGCGAGATTAAGCGTGACTGAACCGGCAACATCGTTACCGTACTTCAAATAAGACAGGAAACCCATTGCGACGAACATAAAGCCGACTATCACCATACCAACATTGAGAACGCCCAGCGGTTTATTAAAATTATTAGGATTCTTCATTTCGTTCTTCAGTGGCAGTACCTGCATATCAATGCCTATTAGAAACACACCGTCAGATAGCATCGGTATCGGATAGAGCATCGGCTTATTTTATCCGAACTGAAGCCAAAAGATATTAAAGTAAAATAGTAAAATAAAAAAAGTAATAGTATTATGGTAAAATACATGTATACACTCACTAGAGTAATACCCTCGAAGGAATATATCACAGTGCCGAAAAACAGAGGTAAATTATTCCAATCCGCGACGTATCTCCTCTCATGTATAGATGGTACGTCATGGCTCATGATATACATGGTCGCGATATAACCTGCGATCATTAGGAAATTCGCTATCGAAGATACCGGTACCAGGTACTTGAGATTTCTGATCCAAGTGCTAAGCATAATGGGTATCAACACTACAGCCATGTGCTGGTGAACGTCCATCTCAATCCCGTGCGCGTCCAGCACCTATCGTAGGAGACAAGAAGATTATAATTGCTATACAATCACGATGTTAATAAAAGACTTTTTTTTTTAAGAAAACGTTTCTCTCGCTTTAAAATTTTTTTTATTTATTGCTAAAAACACAAATATATCAAATTAAGATGTATATTTTTCTAATCTTGTTTTTTTATTAATAAATTATTATAAAATGTAAGTAATAAAGGTATATAGCTGTTATTTACTCAAGCATTTTTAGTCTTTATATTGCGATCAAAAATGGGAATGTGATGAGTGAACCAAAAAATACTAAAGCACGATTAAAATATAGCTAGAGAGAAATGCCTCACCTGCTTCATATTTGTAGAAATAAAAACGAAATATACGCAGCAGAATCCGAGTTGCGTGATACACAAAAATACATTAACCAATTTTCTGCAACAAAATCACAAAAGAGCAACATAAATGACATGCACATTCGCACTAATGTGCGAAATCATAAAAAAAAAAAAATAATTAAAAGACACGTGTAAATGAATGGAAAAGAAAATGTGTGGGTAAATTGAAAGAAATTTGCGTGAGTAGCATCCAGATGAATTGAAGAGTATATATAAGGGGGAATTATAAAACGGCTATGTGACATTTGCTGGTGTTCCTTGTTATTCGGCTTTCCAGTTTTTCATTCCTTCCTTCATTTATTACGCACCTCATGAGAATCGAATATTTACGAAGTCTAAGGGGTCCGGTAGCGAAGCACATCTCCACGGTTCCGGCGAATCCACTTGTGTCTGCATCATTTCCAACACGACGTGTCACCTCCTCATTGCATTTAATCTAAAAAAGAGATTAATATTTATTATCAAGAATAATTTTGTAACGTTTGCTGCAACATCTTATTAAAATATTATAATGTTATTTATACATATTTTAATATACACATATTGTAATTATTATAACTATGATATATTTTTTATTTTTGAGAGAAAAAAGGCCTCATATTATATATCTTGTTTTTTATTTATACAAGGTATCCCAAAACTACCAGTCTTCAAATCATTGTGTGTCTCCCCAAACTATTCAAAAAAATCTATATTAGAAAGACATCCGATAGTTTTGGGATATCTTATATAATGTGTGATTATTAATTAGGCATACGTACGAGAACATGTTGAGCGTGTACGCAGATGACGCCTAGAAAAATAGTCAACGGTGGTGCCAACAGCAATCCGGCATTCTTAAAACCGTCTCCCAACGCAAAGATCCCAGAGCCAACGTTACCCTTGAACAGATGCATCATGGTTTCCAGGTACCTGCAGTTGTCCAATCGTCCATTAGTACATTCGACTTATTTTTTTCGACTTAATGCGAAAGTCCGATTTGTTGTGAAATAGTGAATTAACACATGTCATCAAGTATAAGCGGAATTCTTTAGTCATTACGAAATTATAGTTATGAATCAAAATGTAATTGTACCTATGAACGTTTGGCATGCGTTTCAAATGTGCTAAATAGGAATCATTTAAAATAAACCGGGCAGAAATTTTGGGGCCCTGCCAGAATCATCAGTTTTATTTAATTTCGCTCAAGCTTGTTATAAACTTGTTTATTGCGTAGTTTGTTTTATTTATTCTGTATTTATTGTCTAACTGCGTTAAATTGATTTAGGCGCATACTTCGCTTTTAATTTAAACGATATATTAAGTGAACGATTAATCGCAATTTTTCTCAAAAATAAAGATTATTTACAAATTAAACTCTGATAATTACGATATTTTCTTCTTTATTTATATGTTGATAAACGCAAACAAATCTGCATTTGTAATTATAAAATATTGAAATATTAGGCTCTTAGATCACCAATGATTTACACAACATTAATTATTTATATAAATTAAGATAATATTTTGGTTTATGTCATTTTCATTGTGGTTCTTTCGCAAATATATTCCAGTTTAAATTTAAAAATTACATTTTTTGAAACTCGAAAGAATCTATTTATCTGCGTCTAAACAGTTGCCATTTCCAATGACATTAAGGTGACAAATGATGAGTCAAATGTAGATATTACGCGAATCGATAGCACTCATGCCAAAATATTTGTTTTGGATTGTCTATCTCTTTCTTTCTATTTTTTGCAGTATAGCTAAAAGACAAAATTTGCGAGTCATTCATATTTGTGCACCTACGCGTATGAATCTACATATATCTTTACACGACCGCATTATTAAAAAAAAAACTTAGAATGCTCACAATGTCAAAACAACATTAACGATAAAAAAAGATTCTTCCTAGAAAAATGTGGTTACGTTTTGCACGAAAAAATGGTAAATTATAAATATTTTATCAGAATATCATAGCGACATAGCAAAGTATCCACTTCCGTCTCTCACGTTTCGCAATCATTTGTCATACTTGTCACGTATCTCTTATCATATTTGTTTGAGACAGAGATTTATTTGTGTTTTTCTACTTACTTACTTTTATACAATAACAATTCTCGTCGCTTGTATACAACATGTACTAAATATTCTTCAATTTCTATCGATACGATATATTTGCTAATATTTATAATGTATGTTTTATTTTATACATTGTTTATTATTGAAAAAAACTTTAGCTGTTTTGGATTTTCTTTTCTTTTTTTTTTTTTAACATTAAACTTACGAGGTAGGATGATGTACGGTGATGCCATGCTCATTACTTCCGCCCTTGATAGCATCACCGCCCTTTTCTATCGCTAAGATGGGATCTTTCGATTGAAAAGCTCCATAGGTCCCGCCATTGCTGGTACAAAAAAAAAAGTTGATATAAAAAAAAATCAAATATATATATA